GAAAAAAAAAAAAGAAGAAAAAAGCCCATGAACAAGAGGAAGGCAGAGGGAAAGAGAGAGAGAGAGATAAGGATTTAAAAATAAGAATGATGGAGGGAGAGAAAAAAAAAGAAAAAAGAGGAGCGAAGTGGATAAAGGAAAACAGATTTTCGCAGCTCCGGCGCCCGGCATTCGCTTGTCGTGCTTTGGCAACATTCGATCACCCGGCCCAATATTTGCAGCCGTCGTCGTCGGCGTCGGCCGTCCGTCCGTCCGTCCGTCGTCGCAGGGACAGCCGTCGTATCGCGTGCTGCTGGCCCAATTTTTTTCAACCCCCTTTTATCCCTTTTTTTCTTTCAAAATTCGCAGCGAAAAGGACTCTGGAATTATCTGAATCAAAGAGTGATATCCATTAAATGAAGGCTTGTGTGCTGAGCAAATATTTATTTTTTTTAGACTGTGTGCGAATTTATTTTTTTGGTGTAGCAGGAAAAAGGAAAGTGTTCTCAAAAAGGCTGCAGTTTCAACTGTCCCACGGAAGGATTTTTCGGACTGAGAGGATTTGGGGAGAAATTTGGCACAGGCGAAATTTCGAAGTGCTATAAAACCTTTTGAATTTGAAAAGGAAACAATTCGAGTGGTTTTTTATGAATATTTGATAATAATAATATTAAATCCACAAAATTATTACTGAAGTGTTGAAGAAAATTTACGGGTCTCTATTTTTTTGTTCAGTGGGAGAAAAAAAATGTGTTCACAAAACTTAATTTTGTTTTTCTGATGGTCCCTCATTGAAGAAAGATTCCACCTTGAATAATATTTGGCCTTGAGAAATTCAAATGATGTTTATTTTGTCTTTTGGTGTGTGTGAATTTATGTACAGTATTTTATTCTCCATATTTTTTAGATCAGGTAGAGAGTCTTGGCTGTGAGGGATGTGGAGTGGCGGCCCGTTTTGAACGAAAAAAAAAAGGCGGTCATGGTGTCTAGTGCTGGATGAAACGCGGCGGCGCTGTGCCGAGGATGCGCCCACTGCCCCTGGCCATCCTCTGGCTCCTGCTTCTCTGCACCACCAGTGAGCAGCCATTTTTCACAGAGAAATTGAAAAAAAAAAATTTCTAAAAGTGAAAAACCTCAATGTGTTGAATTTTTATTTGGTCCAGGTCTGGATTCCTTTATACAGTATACAATCAATCACTAAATCGAAGGCTTTCCCTCTCAACTTTCTGCAATAATATCCCAAAAAGAAGGGGAAAGTGTTGTTTCCTCTTTGCTATGGTGCTGAGAACTGACTCATAAATTTGCCCAACAAAAATTATGCACATGGGGTTGTGTTTGCAATGTTTTCAAAAATTGGTTTTCCACGCCCAAAGAAAAAAAAAAGATATATATATATATATACCGTATTTACTTGAGTACCACTAGCACCTTTTTTCTCAAATTTCAGAAGAAAAAAAGGGGTGCGCGTCATAAGCAGGTACAAAGTTTCCAAGAAGTTTTAGGAAGTTATGTGTGCATTATACTTAATTATAATGGAGAAATTTGGAACAAATATAAGAAGAAAACATTTTTGCATTGAAAAAGTTGAAAATTCATCTGATTTTTGTTCAATTCACGCCTGAAGTCACATTTTTTGTTTTTATTTTTGAAATTTTATGGTTTTAGATTCACTAAAAATTGGGGTGTGTGTCTTACTCGGGGATAAGATTTTTGCAAAATTTTCAACTGAAAAACCCCTGTGCGAGCCTTACTCAAGGGCGCGTGGTACTCGAGTAAATACGGTATATATATACCAGTGAGACCCTGAGATGCGGACATAATTGGTGAATCAAGAGTGTCCTGATGTCAGAATGTCCCTAAGTTGAGTGTCATTATCCCTTAGACTTCAATGCTAATGTATTCAATTGGTTCTCCTTTTTGTCAAAAATTAGGCATAAGTACTCAAAGAAATTAATTAAGTACTGTGCAGAACAAAAACACATAGAATCTGATTTTTTGGTATCAAAAGCAGATCAAAAAGCAAAGAAAAATAATAAATCTTGCTAGAATATGCACAGATGATAGAAAAAAATTGAAAAAGTAGCACAAAATCACCATGCTTTTGATTATGAATTAGAGTGAATTCATCATGAAATATTTTTTTTCAATTTTGGTGAATATAAATACAGTAACTTGATTTCTTCAAAACATGACAAATTGAAAAAATTAAATGTTTTGATTTTTGGGAAAATTTCAGAGAAGTGTCCAGTAACTCAAGCCAATGTCCAGATATTGGGCCTGATTTTTTAAGTTTTCAAGTGTCCCCTAGTCAAATTTTCAGTATGTTGGGGTGTCTGCATATCAGAGTCTCACTGTACAGTGTATGCAGATATACAGGTGGACTCCTTCTCTATGTTGATCTTGTCTACAATGATTTTCTCTGTATGATGAATTTTTCTTTGGTCCCAAAGGTTTATCTCCATATTGTGTAAATTTTCTGTACAGCAAAGTTCAAGGAACCAGAAAAATTATTTGTTGAGAGGATGTTATTGTTGAGTCCACCTGTAAATATATAGATCTATTAGGGGGTTTATGCTCAAAATGTTTTCAGAAATGGAATTTCAGCTGAATGTATTCCACAAGAGTGGATTGCAGATTTAAAACATTGGATCTGAGGGGGTTATCTTTAAAATATTTTTCAAAATAGGTTTTCACCTGAATTGTTTTCAAGAAAGTGTGAATTGCATGCTTGATACATTCCATCAATAAAGGGGTTATGCTCAAAAGTTTCTTAAAATCGTTCAATGACAAGTTGACAACACTGTTGAACCTCTTTAAGTCAAGCTTCATCAGGGACCAGCAAAAAATATCTTAACTTACAGAGGTTTTTAATGCATTATTTATAGAGAAATTCAGACATCACAAAAGGACTCTGAACAAAATTGACAGAAGGAGATATTTGAATTGGTGAGGTTTGAGTTATTGTAATTCAACTGTATTCACAGGGTTTTCCAATGCAAAAATTTTCAAAAACCATGCCTGGATTTCCCTGATTCAAACCTTGGGTGGCAGTGTGTCCTTTCCCATCCCATGGTGGTGTTAAGATGTTTTTGCAAGTTTCTGCATTTTTGCTTGACCCAAGGTCCCTGAAATGCAGATTTGGCTGAGTAGCCAAAGTTGGGAAAAGTCTGGAGAAGGGAAAACCGTTGTTCTGAAATTCCCTCAATGGTAATCCTACTGCTGGAATGCAGAAAACATGCCACCCAACAGGAATTTGTTGACAATTTTTTTCTGTAGGAATGCTAAAAAAAATTATGGATTTTCCCTTACTTTGGCTCTTTCTAATAATTCTTGTTTTCTCTTTTTTTTACTCCTTGTAGCAAAAAATTTTACAGATGAATCCATGGCTTAAAAGAAATAATATAGAAATCAATAAACCACACAAATGTACATTGAAAATCACAAATGGGAGGTTTTAGTTATAAAGGTTCAAATTTGTGCAAATTTTCACACTTATCTGCTATCTTGGAAAAAATTCCCATAAAAGGTCACAGGAATAAAATGTGGATTTGCACAGAGATCAAATTGTGCAACAAATGTATAGTGCTAGTGCAAATTTTGTTAATTTTACAAGGTACCACTGTATGCAACTTTATTGTGAAATTTTCAATCTCCTTTCAACAGGTGCATCATCCAGGGAGTTCTCCAAAAAGCAGGGCAACAGAAACCAGGCTTTCAGTGCTGCAATGAACTATGCACCAAGGTAAACTACTTCCAATTGATTCAACAACAACAAAAATACCCATTTTTCATTTCTCTCAATTAATTTCCCCTTTTTGTTTTGCTTGTTATACTCAATTGGTCCTCCTTTCAATTGATCAAATAAAAAATCAATTGATCAAAGAACAGGCCTGTGGTTATATTACTCTCAGTTTTTACCTCAATTAATTTCCCGTTTTTGTTTTGTTGTTCACTCAATTGGGCCTCCTTTCAATTGATGGAAGAAAGAATCCATTGATCAAAGAAAAGGTCTATGGTTATTTTTCAAAATTTAAACCACAATCAATTTCCCCCTTTTTTTCTTCACTCAATTAGGACTCCTTTCAATTGATTGAAGAAAAATTATAAATTGATCAAAGAAAAAGTCTGTTTTTCATTTCTCTCAGTTTTTACCTCAATTAATTTTCCCCATTTTATTTTGTTTTTTAATCAATTGTCCCCCTTTCATTTTGTTTTTTCATCAATAGGGCCTCTTTTCAATTGATGAAAAAATCAATTGATCAAAGAGAAAGCCTGTTTTTATTTCTCTCAGTTCTTACCTCAATTATAATTTCCAGTTCACTCATTTGGGCCTCCTTTCAATTGATGAAATAAAAAAGATCAATTGATCAAATAAGTTTTCAATTCTCTCAAATTTTACCCTTGTTTTTTTCACTCAGTTGGTTCAATTGATGAAGAAAAAAATAAATTCATCTAAGAAAAATACTTTTTATTTCTCTCAGTTTTTACCTCAATTAATTTTCCCCATTTTATTTTGTTTTTTAATCACTTGGGCCTCCTTTCAATTGATCACAGAGAAAGCCTGTTTTTATTTCTCTCAGTTTTTACCTCAATTATAATTTCCACTTCACACTGTTGGGCCTCCTTTCAATTGATGAAAGAAAAAAGATCAATTGATCATAAGTTTTCAATTCTCTCAGTTTTTACCCTTGTTTTTTTCACTCAATTGGTTCAATTGATGAAGAAAAAAATTATTGATCTAAGAAAAATACTTTTTATTTCTCTCAGTTTTTACCTCAATTAATTGTCCCCCTTTTTTTTTTTTTTTAATTTATTTTGGACCTCTTTTCAATTGATGAAAGAATCAATTGATCAAAGAGAAAGCCTGTTTTTATTTCTCTCAATTTTTACCTCAATTATAATTTCCTCTTCACTCATTTGGGCCTCTTTTCCATTGATGAAAAAAAAACAAAGTTTTCATTTCTCTCAATTTTTACCCCAATTAATTTCCCTGTTTTGTTTCACTTTTCACTCAGTTGGGCCAGCAGCAGTGGCATGCACACCAAGGAACCCGGAAGACCCTCGTATTCCCTCGGGGCACCAGTTCTCAGGGCCACCATGAGTGCACAACGTCCCGTTTCCCCAGAAACTGTCAAGAAGAGGATTTCCGTGTGTCTCCGGGTTCTGAATAATATTTTGCCGGGTTACTCTAGTGATCAGAGTGCCGAGGTTTGTGCGAGACTGGCTTCGAGGTCCACCACAGGCACAAATAATAATAATAATAATGATAATAATAACAATAAAAAGACACCGGATCCCAGCAATGGTAATAAAGGAACCCGCAGACCCAAGGATTATTTATTCATGCAAATGGAGGAACTGGAGAGGCTGGTGGGGAAAACAAGGTTAGCTGAACATTTCTAAGTTGTTTTTTTTATTCAGTTTTAATTGTTGAAAAATTGTGTGCATTGAAGACTATTTTATTCCACTTGAAACTTAATAACTCAAACTTCTCTAAGTAAAATTCCTTGCTATTGTCAAATATTTGTTGAGTCCCCATCTGAATTCTTTTGGAAACCATGCAAATAACCCTTGTGTGGCAAAGTTGGGATATTTTTGCAAAATATTGTGCCAATGAGGACTGCAAATTAAAAAAAATAAATTCAATTTTTGTACCATGCAAGGTGTAAATTAGGAAAAAGTCCAATTTTTTTTAAATACCGGTAATCCTGCACAAAATTTTCCTTTGAAAAAATTCCTTACTGGGTGGCATTTTTTCCTGCATTCCTGGCATAGGATTAGTATTGGGAATTTCTATAAATAAAAAAAAGTATTCACCTTTTCCAGACTTGGGCCTTCTCAACCCAGTTGCATTTCAGTTTGACCCAAGGTCACACTGAAATGCGCCAGTGTGGGCAACAACAACAAAAAAACCTGCACTTTGCCACAAAGAAAGGGGGCTATTGCAGACCAAAGGCTTAACTCTTGTGCAGCAAAGTCAGGATATTTTTGCAAAATGTTTTCCCCATGAGGGCTGGCTGCAAATTATAAAAAAAATATGATTTTTGAACCAAGGTCAAAGTCAGGAAAAAAGCCCAATATATATATTTTTTTTATAATCCTGCAGGAAATGTTGGCTCTAAAACAAAAGAATTCCTCACTTGATAGCGTTTTTTCATGCATTCCCAGCATAGGATTTAAAATTGGGGATTTCTTGAGACAATGGGATTTTCTGCATCCAGATTTTTCCAAAACTAGACCTTGGCAACCTGGGGGTATTTCAATGACCTGTGGTCAAACTGAAATGCCACTCCCCCCAAAACAAATCCAAACTTTGCTGCAGGATGGCCAGGAACCCTCCGCTGTCCAAGGGTTAAAAATTTCCCAACTCAAAGGTCTTTTACCCCCTCAGACCTTCATAACTCTAAATTTCTGGAGGCCTTTTTGGTAATTTTTTTCCTTGACACAGTGAGGAGAATAGAAATTTTTTTTAAATTCAAACTGATGTGTTTTGAAAGGAAGTGAGAGATTCCTTTGGCAAATGAACCCTGGCCTCCTGCAAGTTCATCACCCTGTCAACTCATTTCAGAAGCAATTCAATGCCTAAATGTATCAGAAAATATGATTTCTTGTGTAATTCTTTTTTCTCCCCCCCCCTCCTCCCCCAAATGCTTGTTTCCCTGACTGAAAACCTTCCTAACTGGTACCTTGAAGTTTCACTTACAGAGTTTCAACTGTATGTAATTCAAAAGTTATCTGCAGAAGATGATGTGAATTCTGGTTAATTTGAGGAGGTTGTCCAGAGAAGACTGATCTTCCAGCTGCTTCTCCTGGATTTCTTTTGAATGTGGAAATAAGACTTGATCTTGAAAAAATTCTTGCTTTCTATATGCAACAGAAAATAATTCAAATTTTGCTTAATTCAAGGAGGAAAGACAGAAAGGTGGAGTAGATTTCTCATCTGTAGTTCTAGGATTTCTTCTTTTTTTAAAGTGGAAAAGTCAGAATTGATTTTTTTTTAGTCGCAATTTGCTTCCTGCTGACAAACAACCAACATTTGCTTATTTTGAGAACAATGGACCAGAAAAGAGTGGGACTCAGTATTTTTCCAAATGTGAGAACTGGAGAAGCTGGTTGAGAAAACACGCTCATTTCTAAAGTTCTGAGGTTTTATCTATTATTTTTTGCATTTCTTTTTTAAAGTTTCAATAATCCCTCAGAAAAAATAAGAATTTCGCTCCATTTGAGAGTGGTGACCACAAAAAAGTGGGCCTCAATTTACTTGAACATTTTTCCAGCTGAAATTTAGGATTTTCTTCTATTTTTGAAAGTCCAACCAATTTTTTCTTTAAGTCTCAACTTTCTAAAAATGTCAAGAATTTCGGTTATTTCATAGAAGGTAGGCTAAAAAAAAATTTCTTCAGCTGAAATTCCATTTCTTGTGAGAAAATAAGAACATAATTCTTGATTTGAGCAGGATATAAGCCATAAAAGGAAAGGGCCAATTTTATAAATGAAATCCCCAAAATTTATTTTTTTATAAAAAAAAATGGTTTCAAGTTCTTCGCATTCACAACAGTCAGCTGATTTTCTGGGATTTTTGATATACAGTAATAAAAATGCATGCTTGTTTTTTTCAGTTATTTTGAGCAGAATAAAGTATTGCCAGAAAATAGTGGATCAATTTTTCAGCTGAAATTCTGCTTCCTTCATTAATGATAAATTATGGCACATTTGTTTTTTCAATGATGTTAGAAATACTTTCTTGACAAAAGAGAGAGGGATTTGGAATATAGACAGTTGGGAATGAAAAACTTGATCAGCTGGGCTGAGGCCAGGGCAAAGCCTCATTATAAAGTTGTTCTATTTGACATGGTTTTGACAAGGATTATTTCACCAGATCTTCTCAGTAAAAGTTTGTAATCAAACACAACTAATCAAAATTTTACAATCACACAGTACTGCTTGCTCAAACACTCTGACAAGGTCTGCACACAAAGACTGTGGTTTCTCAAATCTGCTGGTCACAACTTGGCCATCAGGATGAAAGGCTGCTGGTCCTTGCAAACTTCAGGGAATAGTTCTTGGGGAATAATAATTCACTCAGAGAAGAATGTGGGAACTTGAGGTCAGCCCTGGTTCTGCAGGATTCCTGAGGAGATTAGCACAAGTTTTGCCAATCTCGAAGCGTGTCTTTCTGAACGCCCCATTATTTTTATTTTTGACAAGAGAGACTCATTTGTCTAAATTGCAAATTTATATTTGAGACCATTTTTGTAAATCTGAAACAGGCAGAAACATGCTTGAATTTCCACAATACATTCCTTGCAGTTTTGGCAAATTGATGGAAAAATGTACACTGGTGAAAACTTTTTTTTAATGTCTGTTCTTCAGTGGCAAAGAAACCATCCTCAGAGATCTGATTTGTATGTTTGCCTTTGATTCCAGAGAGTTGGAGAAAAGTTTACTGAACAACATTGCAGCCAGGAGAATGTTGATTGCAAAATCCTCAAAACAGGGTTCTGCCAATTTGCCTGTGCTGGGTTTGGGCAAGAAACCAGGGTCTGAAAAACCCAAGATTATCAGCCATGGAATCAGGGAGTTGGAGAAGAATGCTAATGTGGCATTCCTGGAATCCCAGCTGGCAGCTGGAACTTTCAATGACTTGGATTTCCTAGATATCACCAAAGCAGTGTTTGCTACTACACAATTCACCCCTAAAACCAAGTTAGTTTCTGGTTTTGATATCTTTTTTTTTTCATCTGAACCACTCAGTTTTCTTTAGCAATCAATAAAAAAATCCAAAAATACTAGGAAAGCAGGATCCATTTGATTATACACAGGTCTGCTGTAAAAATTGTTTCCAGTCATTCATCTTGAAAATATTTTCACTATAAAATCTCATTACAATGAACTTCTGGGGACTTCAGGAAAAGTTTGTTTTAACAGAAAATTAACAAACACAAGATTTTCAAAATTATTGACAATAGGAAGATGGTTTTAAATGGAACCTGCATATGTTCAACATTTTCCTTCTTGGCCTTTTTTCCCTTGCTTGAAAAACTGCAACCTTGAAAAATAAATTCAAACCTCAATAAAAAACACTCACTCTGAATAACAGGTAAACACTTACACTTTTTGTGGACTTCAAGTTTTTTCTAAGCAGTTCCTGTACTTGTAACAATTGTATTATAAAAATGTATTTAAAACCCTGAAAGGAAACTCGAATTTAGGATGTGCACAGCTGCAGATATTTTTGTCCTTCCTGCACTCAAGCCCAGACCCCCTGAGGCGTCACCACC